TGTCTGTGTGTGTGTGTGTCTGTGTGTGTCTGTGTGTGTCTGTGTGTGTGTGTCTGTGTCTGTGTGTCTGTGTCTGTGTATCTATGTGTCTGTGTGTCTCTGTGTGTGTGTCTATGTGTCTGTGTCTGTCTGTGTGTCTATGTGTCTGTGTCTGTCTGTGTGTCTGTGTCTATGTGTCTGTGTCTGTGTCTGTGTGCCTGTGTGTGTGTCCCCGTGCGTATGTGTGCAAACCAGGGAGGAACGAGCAGGGAAACACCAGGAGGGGGCACAGACACGGGGCCCCTCTGTGTGTGCTGCAGGTGCCCATCTCTGCACACGTGTGTGCCCATCTCTGCACACGTGTGTGCCCATCTCTGCACACGCGTGTGCCCGTGGGCAGCCCGTGTGAGCGGGCACAGACAGGGAGGGCCGGGCTGAGTGTGAGTGTGAGCCCTGATCCCAGCCTTGCCCCGGGGCAGAGCCAGCACGCTCTGCTCCGGCTCGGCGCTGCCAACCCCTGGGGATGCTCGGGATGCTTAAATTTATTCAATCATTAACAAGCTGGAAGGCCTCCGGGAGCTTCGCCCCGGGCGGGGTGGAGGTGCCAAGCAGGATCTTCCCGAGGTCTGGTGCTTGGATCCTTCCCAAGGCCTGGCCCTGGGATCCTTCCCGAGGCCTCACGCCTGCCGGAGCCGCCCGTGCTGGGGTTAATGCAGTTGGAAGGGATTGTGTTGGAGTGGCAGCTGTGCCCTGTGGGAGCCGAGGGTAATCCTTTGCCGGGGCTGCCTCATTGTGCGCTGCCAGCCCCGTCCTGCTCTCCTGAGATCCCCCCAAACCCACGGCTGTCCCGGGCAGGGGGGCTCCAGCTTCCATCCCCACATCCCATGGCTGCCAGCACCTCTGCCAGTGTCTCCTTCCCTCTTGTCACAGCTCCAAAACATCTGGAGAGCAGCAGCAGTGCTTGGGGAAGGGCAGAGGGTTCCCAGGAGCCTCTTGAGCCACCTCGTGCCTCTCTACAGGGACCACGTTGCCCCTTCTGTGCTGCTGCCGTGGGTGCTGGGTGCCCAAAATCAGCCCCCTGTGTTCAGCCATCGGTTTGGCTCCTCTGCCACCCTCACATGCTGCCAGCTGGGGCCCAAGGAGCATTTTGGGGGGCACCCCTGACACAATAAAGCAGTCAAACACCCCCTCCCCAGGCAGTTACTGCCCTGCCATGGCCATGTCCTGCCGAACGCTCCAGCTTCCCCACCCCAGTGGGTCCCCAACCCTGGCCTGGCAGCTCCAGAGGGGTCGGCACGGCGCTTCCAGCCCCCCACTCCCCAACCCTGGCCTGGCAGCTCCAGAGGGGTCGGCACGGCGCTTCCAGCCCCCCACTCCCCATCCCTGCAGCTCCCCAAGGTGTCCCTGCTCATCCAGAGCCTCTGGGGTGCTGCCAGGGGGTACTCAGAGCCCAGCTGTGGTGGCTCCTGCTTGTTCCCTGTCCCCAGAGCTGCTGCCTTCTGGGTGCTTCCGTGTCCAGCTCCCCCGGCACTGTGGGACAACCCTATGGAAGCCCTCGAGGAGCCGGTGGGTCCTGCAGCGGGACGGTGCCGTTCACCCCCGAGGCTGAGCGGTGTTTGCAGCACTGAACAACCCCTAAAACGAACCCACCCGTGGCTGAGTGGAGGGTGATAACCTGCTGATCCCCTGCAGATGGCTCGGGGGGGGCAGTGAGGCTGCTCCTGCACGTGCCACCCCCGGGTCTGTGCCCATGGCACCGCTGCTGCCCCGAGCTCAGTGCCGGCCAAGGGGGGCTGTGGTGGCCGTGTCATATCCCCCCCGGGTCGTGGGAGATGGATTGTTGACACTTGAGCTGCTCAAGGTCACCTGGATGTTGTTAAATCCTGGCAGACTCCAGCGACCAGCGCAGTTATGTCCGTGTGCAGTGGGAAAGGAGCAGCGTGAGGGGGAGAGGAGGTGCCACGCGGGGCCCAGCGACGCAGAGCAGAGCAGGGGCACTGCCAGCCTGGCCACACCAAGGTCCTGGCACTGCAGAGGGGCAGCCAGGCTGGTAAGGGCTCCTTAGTGCTGGTTTTGCCAAAAAAAAGCTGAATCCATCCATTTTTAGCAAGGAAAAAGGTGCTGCCAGGTCCGTGGTGCTGCCAGTGTGACGAACACGAGCTGCTCGGAAACAGAGTCAGTTCTGCTTTTCATTTCCTTCTTCCCCTTAATCGCATCTAGTCTGGATCAGAGGGGTGCAGGGAAGCTGCTGAGGAGCCCGGGGCTGCAGCCAGACCCCCTGTCCTGCACCCACACCTCCCTCCCAGGACATCCAGCCCCATTGTGGCACTTTGCATGGAATCCCAGAATGGTTTGGGTTGGAAGGGACCTTAAACACTGTTTTGTTCCACCTCTCTGCCACAGGCAGGGACACCTTCCACCACTTCCAGGGATGGAAATGTCAACCCACATCAGGCTGCACGCCCTGACCTGAAACCCCAAACTGCTTCCAGGGAGTTGTAGGCACCACCAGAGCAGTGGGAAGGCTGAACTTTGGCTGCAGCCTGTCCTGGCAGCCCCAAAATACTCCTGTCCACAGCAGTGACTGGCTGGTGGCTCTTGGCAGCTCCACATGGCTGCACTGCCCTCCGGCTCTTTCTAGCATGGAAGAGGCTGCAAATTCCAAATTCAGGAAGGTTTCATACACCGGGAAAGTCCTGGATGAGGACCTTGGTCCTGCAAAGGCATTAACAGGTCCTGACAACTTATTCCATCATTGCTCTGTTTATTGATGCCACTGTCCCACATGAGATCTGACACACTGGGAAGGAGCCCAGTGTGCTCCAGGGAGTTGGAGTCACCCCTCTGGCCACGGCCTGGCCCTTCGGGTGCATCCACAGCCCAACCTCAGGAGATGCACTGAGGACAAACCAGATCACAGAGAACCGAGTTGGTGGAGATAGCAAGGAGACAGCCCCGTGTCCCACCCCCTGTGACATGCGGTGAGGGACCCCGGCAGCGAGGACCTGGGAACTGGGAGATCTCCCACAGGCAGCCCCGAGCTGATCAGGGCTTTTCTTGGAGCCAGCCCAGGACCTGCTCCTCACCTGGGGCAGGAATCCCACTGCTCCTGCCACCAGTGCAAAGAGAGCAGAGGAGCAGTTGAACACACCAAGGTGTTGTGCTCAGGCCCACGGTGACCCCACAGCAGCCGTGGCCAGACCCCCAGCACCCCGCTGCCCTCGTGGCAGCAGGAAGGCCGGACCCCGGGAGGACTGAGCGCTAGGGACGAGTGTTTGGAGGAGCCTTGCTGAGGGCTCCTACCAGAAAAAGGCTCTTTTACTGCAACTAGAATTTTATTCTATTGTATAATTCAGGAGTGCATCACAGCCCCGCGAGCCGGGCAGGCACCTACCGGCGCTTCCAATCTAGACACACGCAGAACCTCCTCGTTAGCTGGATCTGTTAATTACTCACCTCCCCCCGGCCGGAGCTTCTGTAACCACGCGCTGCCTGAGCGGCTGTCGCGTCCAGCCCGGAGAGCTGGGACGAGGCAGCACCTCTGCAGAGCTCCTGGACAAAAAGTGACTGTGCCAGAATCAGCCTACAGAGCATTTAACAAAAAAAAAAAAAAAAAAACCCACCCAGAAAATCTTGCCCATCCTAAGGTTGCTTATCAATTAAAAAGTTCCTCCACATTTATTTTAAAAAACCAAACAGTAGATTTAAAAAGCAGTTACGAGTCCTACTCCGGCAAAACACCCTGTACAGGTTTCTTTTGTTGGTGGTGAGGATTCCCCCTAAATCAGCTGCTTCTGTTAATTTTATATATATATAATCTTTTAATTTTGCCGCGCGTTGCTTGCTTTAATTCATTAATTTATTTCCAATCAGCCCAGTCTCCACCAGACCAGCGGCGCTACCACACAAAGCTTCCTTGATGTCCATGCCCTGAGCTGGGGTGGGGGGAGACGGATGGAGGGAGGGCGGGGGAGATGAGTGGAGGAGGAGGAGGAGGAGAAGGAGGAGGAGGAAGGGTGGAGGGAGGGAGAGGAGGGGGAGGAAGCCGTCGGGCAGCCCCTCACTCTCCCATGTGCGTCCTCAGGTGGTACTTGAGGGACTGCTTGTAGCGGAAGCACTTGGTGCACTCGGTGCAGGGGTAGGGCCGCTCGCCGGTGTGCGCCCGCTGGTGCTCCAGGAGGTGATGCTTCTGCGTGAAGTTCTTGCCGCACTCGGTGCAGTGGTAGGGCCGCTCGCCCGTGTGGATGCGCTGGTGCTCCAGGAGGTGATGCTTCTGCGTGAAGTTCTTGCCGCACTCGGTGCAGTGGTAGGGCCGCTCGCCCGTGTGGATGCGCTGGTGCTCCAGGAGGTGGTGCTTGCGGATGAAGCCCTTCCCGCAGACGGCGCAGGCGTGCGGGCGCTCCCGCGTGTGGATGCGGTAATGGTTGGTCAGCTTGGACTTCTCGCTGAAGGTCTTCTCGCACTGGCTGCACTGGTAGGGCCGCTCGCCGGTGTGAGTCCGCTGGTGCCGCAGCAGGTGGGAGGGCCGGGTGAAGTTCTTCCCGCACTGGGGGCACAGGAAGGCCATCTCGTTCTTGCCGGCGTGGATCCTCTGGTGCATGAGGAGGCTGATCTGCAGGCGGAAGCTCCTCCGGCACTCGCCGCAGGTGAAGGGCCGCTCCCCGACGTGGGTGATCTGGTGCTTGCTGAGGCTCGACTTGTGGCTGAAGCTGCTCTCGCACTCGGAGCACTTGTAGGGCTTCCCCGGGGGCGGGGGCCGCGCCGGGGGCTTGAGGCCGTGCTCGGGGCGCCGCGGGACCCCCACGCCGCGGCGCGTGTGGCTGCGCTGGTGCAGCAGGAACTGCTGCTTGTTGCGGAAGCTGAGGTCGCACTCGTGGCACTCGTAGGGCCCTTCCTTGAGGTGGTTGCGCTGGTGGATCATGAAGTTGATCTTGAGCATGAAGCTCTTGCCGCACTCGGGGCAGATGTAGGGTCTCTCCCGCGTCCGGTTCCGCTGCTGGGCGCTGGCCGCCTTCATCTCCCCGGGGTCCCTCTCGCAGGCCGACGGCTTCCTCACGCGGGCTGCCAGGCCCCTGGGCTGGGCCTTGGAGCTGCACTGCGCCTCGCAGCCCAGCCCGGCCTCGTGGCCGGGGAACGCCGGCGGCTCGGCCCTGCCCGAGAACATGGCGCACGGCTCCAGCGTGTCGGGGTCGTCCTCCTCCTCCTCCTCYGTCTTGATCACGATCCCGTCCTCTGCGGGGGGAAACCAGAACAGCGTCAGGGGCACGGGGTGGGACGGGGCGGCCTTTTATGCACATGGGGGTGCTACAGGAACCTCTGACGGGCTCCTGCAGCTGTTTGCCCCTGCCTGCTCTGCCCCACCACCCAGAGCGAGCCGGCTGCAGCCGGAGCCCGGAGCGCCGGGAAGGGCCATGTCACCCCTCAACGTGGAGTTCAGACAAACAGCCCCTGAGGGGCCCTCAGACCCTCCTGCAAAAACACTTGGCAATTTCATGGTGCTGCAGGATGTGGGGGGTAAAAGCACCATCAGTGACCGAGTGATTTCGGAGCAGCTCCATCTGCTGCCGTTTCACTGGGATACAACAACGCTCCCGGCACGGCACTGCTCGACGGACACACAGCCCCGGGCTGCCGGCACACAGCTCCCCTCCTGGGACAGCACACCCAGCCTGGGAACGTCCCCTTCCCTCAGCCTCACCCCCCTCCTTCCCGGCGTGACCAGCAGTGGGATGGATGGACGCACATGGATGGATGCACGTCAGGCTCCCCCTCGTGTCACCGATGCCGGAAGTGACCCGGTGTTTTTGTTTGGTGTGACCAGCAGTGGGATGGATGGACGCACATGGATGGATGCACGTCAGGCTCCCCCTCGTGTCACCGACGCCGGAAGTGACCCGGTGTTTTTGTTTGGTGAGACCTGCCCTGCCAGGGACACATCCCAGGGACACGGAGGGAATCCACAGCGGATCCCTCATGTCACTGCACATCCCAGGGACACAGAGGGAATCCACAGTGGATCCCTCATGTCACTGCACATCCCAGGGACACGGAGGGAATCCACAGCGGATCCCTCATGTCACTGCACATCCCAGGGACACATCCCAGGGACACGGAGGGAATCCACAGCGGATCCCTCATGTCACCCTGTGCTGCACGTTGAGCCAGACCCATGTGCTCTTCCAGGAAGAGCAGCCATGCTTTCCCAAGAGGCAGCCCAGAGGTATCAAAGCTGTGGCTCTCTTCCCTCCAGCAGAGGGGTCCTGGGGAATTCCAGGTCCTCTTCCTCCCTGCCTCCTCTGCAGACCTGGGGGCTCAGCACCCCCATCCCAGTCAGTGCCACCACAGCTCCCACTCAGCCCCACCAACCAGGCCCCACGCCTTGGACAAGGACCATCTCCAGCCCCACTGGTGGCTTGGCTGTTTTCCCTTCCCAAACCATGAGCAGACCACAGGATCCACGAGGCCCTCAGGAGCCCAACTGTCTCCCTCTTGGTTTGTGTTACACCACCGCAGAGCTGTCAGGAGGAGGGAACCTGCCATTCCCAACCTCCCATCTCCTTGCCCTCCCACCCCCCCTCACAGCAGGTCTGTAGGACCTGGCCCATGTGTGCCACCCGACTGGCAGGATCCCACACATGAAAGGCCTGGTGCCATTGTCTCTTCACTAAACAACCTCACCCTTCCTCGTCCCTCCTGGCAGCTTGGATGCCACAGGGGTCCTGCCACGCTCCTCCCTGTCCTGTGGACCTGCCCCAAGTGACCCCCACACTGGTCAACCAGCAGGACCCCTCACCTCTGACCAGAGCAGCTCCCGAGGCTGCTGCAGCCAGAAACTTTCCTGCTGGTGCTGGTTCTGGGGGGATTTAACCCTGCCCGTCCATCCAACCCCTTCCCCACCTTTTCCCGGCCCCCCAGCCCCGGAGCCGCGTGCCGAGGTCCCACCTGTGCAGCTCCCGTGGTGAACGATGACCCTCTGGATCTCGTTGAAGTCGGCCCCGTACTCGGACGAGTCCCCCAGGCTGGTTCCCGGGAGGTCCCTGGGAGGGGACACGGAGCCGTAGGGGCTCTCACAAGCCGCCTCCTCGTCCGGGCTCTGGAAGCTGCCCTCCGACTGCCCCGACATGCCGTGCAGCTCGGGGTTCTCGGGGCTGTCCTCGGGAAGGAGCTCCTCCGTTTTGATCACAACCCTTATTCCAGCTGCAGCAAAGAGAGGTTCCCGCCCGCCGTCACTCCCGGGGATGGAGCCACGGCTCACAGCCATCCCTGCCGGCTCCGGCCGCTGATCCCGCACAGGGGTTCCACCTGCTCGGCCATTCCTGCTCTCCCTCCAGCCCCTGCCCTTCTCCCATCCCTGCCACGCTCCCGCCTCTCCCCTGGGATCCTCCGCAGGCACAGGGGACCGTCTCCGCCCAGCCTGGGACTCGGTGCCACAGCTCAGCACCCCTTGGGCTCCCCTCATCCCCCGCCTGCAGATCCCAACGATCTTCCTCTTCCCGTTGGCCTCAATTTAATTTCAAGATCCCTGTGGTGAAGAGCACAGGCAGGGGGGCAGAGTGACCCCACATCCACAGCCTAGCACCAGGAATGGCCAGTGGAGCTGACCTCTTCTAGGACACCTATTTATCAGCCCCCTTATCCCAGAGCAGGAGTTGCTCTGGGACTCGGGATCCCTGGTGCCCTTCTCCCAGCCCAGCCCTGCCCTTGGAGCAACCCCTCAGCACCCCTTCTCCCTGCACACAGGATGGGAGCAGATTTCCCTGCCTGGGAGGGCACTCCAAGGATAAACCCAGGCACCATCCACACAAAGAGAGGGTGGAGAGGATTTTCTGGGTGGATGGGCTTTCCCAGTGGGTCCTGATTCTCCTTCCTTGCTGGGCACACTGGCTCCCTGAGGACCTGGTCTGGTTGCAGATGCTTCCCTTGCTGATGGTTCCCAGTGCCCAGCTCTCCGGGCTCCTCCTGCCCTGGTTTATATGCTGAGCTGTACCTGGACATCAAATCTCTGATCGGCCAAACTTATCCTGTTCCTAGGCAAGGCTCCTCCTGATAACCCCCCCCAGCTCCCAGCAACACCTGCTTTAGCCCAGGGATGAGCAGCTCCTTGGGACACAACCAGGGCTCCCCTTGTGCCAAGGTCTCACCTGCTGTGGCATCAGTAATGATCTCACTCTCCTCCAAGTCCTGCTCGTTCCTGCCCCGCGACTCCTCTCCTTGCTCGATCTGAGACAAAACCCCAGGTTTGGAAATTGCATAGTCTGTTGAGAGACAGAGGGATGGAGAGAGGGATTACTGCACTGGGAGTCTAAGGCTGCCTTCCACCTCTCCCCAGGGCCTGGGGGACGTGGGAAGACACTCAGGAACATCCAGAGGGGCTGTGGGGAGCAAAGCCGGGCGCTGCCAGAGGCAGGAGCTGAGGTGCCACACAGAGGAACTGCCTTAGGCAAGAAACCCAAACCCTGTGTTTTTCTGGTGGGGTTTTAGAACTTCTCAGACAAATCCTGGCTCTCCTGCAGCCAAAGGCATTTCTCAGCTCCCAGCAGAGCCGGGATTTCTCCTGAAGCTCCGCAGGAAATGCCCCAAAGCACTGATCACATCAGACAATTTTTCCCTCTGCAAAAGTTCCCTCTAAGGGGGTGCATGGGCTGGTACCCCCTGCAGACCCAGAAGGTGCAGGGAAGCCCTTCCAACAGCCACGGAGAAGGTGCTGGTTTTTCACCATTTAACTCCAGCTGGAAGAGGTCTGGGAGGTCTCCAGCCCACCTGCCTATGCAGATCCCCCTCAGCCAGGACAGCACGAAGGCACAAGCTGGGAATGAACCCAAACTAGAAACACCCTTCCGTGCTTTTAGGTCTTTAAAATGGGACACTGGGGTTTCACCCAAGGGGATCTCCAAGGAGGAGCCAGAAGGAGCCCCAGAGAACGTGCCCCCATATTTACCCAGGGAGATCAGCGACTCGTAGTTCCCCTTCATCACGTTCTTGTACAGCTCCTTCTGCCACTCCTCCAGCTTCTCCCATTCCTTGTCGTTGAAGTAGACGGACACGTCGTCAAATGTCACCGGCACCTGGATCACAAGAGCACCGGTTCAAGGGCTGCCTCCCTCCCCAGGAGCCCAGAGAGAGCAGCTCCCCCTCGGACAGAGCCAGGCTTCAGCTCCTTCACGGCCATCAACCAGTTGGTTCTTACATTTATACAACTCCTGGGCAGGTATTTCTGTGGCATTAAAGGTCTCAGCCAAACAGACGGCTCCCAGTGAAGAATCCAGACTTTGGTACTTCCCAAAGGACCCCAAGCTCCTCCTCTCAGTCCCTGCACTCTGCAGAGTGACCAGGCTTGGAGGGACCACAAAGGACAGAAAACCTGGGTGCTGGGCTGGACTCATCCCTATGGATGAGCTGACGTAACGCCCGGATTCAATTACCCCTGAACTCCAGGGAAAGCTCTACCCAGGCCTGCAGGGCTCCCTGTTATCCTTAGTTATTGTGTGCCCACCGGCCAGGAGCAGGCCGTGGATTCCCAGCCTGTTTGCCAAGGAATAATTCCTAAGGATAAATCCAGGACGTGCAAACTGTGCTGTGTAGGAATGCAGCTCTTCAGAGGGAAATGTGGTGCTTCACCTCTGCTCCCCAACTGCACTAATAGGGTGCAGGGTCTGAGCCCCCCTTTTCCCAGCCCTCTCCACTCTCTCCAGTCACAATCCCTTTCCCCTGGTCCCATCTGCAGACTTTCTTTTAGTGGGAAGATCATGAAATTCAAGTAGGAACTGAATATTGATGGTGGGCTCCTTCCAGAGCTCGGCTAATCCCAGGGAACTCATCTGCCTTCCCCAAATCCCAGAGCTTTCTCCTTCCCCAGGCTGGGAGACTTTGCAGCACCAAGGTGGTCCAAGAGAAAGAACCACTAAATCTGGGGTGCTTTTGTTCAAGAGGTGGTATAAAAAAATAAGCAAAAAAAGCATAAATGGCTCCTGGGCTGTGCAGAACTGAAACCTCCAGCCTGAGCACTGGGATGTCGCCCTGGGTCCTGCATCCCACTGTACTTTAGTCCCAGAGGGGGATGAGCTGGGAAGGAGCAGCTCCAACGGGGAGCGACTCACCAGTGCCGGGGCTGTCCCCGCTCACCCCCCTCAGTCCTGCCCTCTGTGAGCATTTCGGGTGCAGACCCCCCACCCCAGGACACCGTTACCTTGGGGACTTCCCCCTTCCTGCCTGGGGGCAGCCGCAGGATCCAGAAGTTCCTGTTCTTGAGCAGGTTCTCCATGTTCTCCAGGCGCCGCTGGAGCAGCCCGTACTCCTGGATGAGGGTGCCCAGTGCCGCACACTTGCTCTCCAGCTGGTTCCCCAGCTCCGCCGCCGTCTTCTCGCAGTCGATCAGCTTCTTCTCGGCCATCCCCGTGCGGCCCTCCAGGTCGAGCAGGCGGGTGGAGTGGGAGTCCACC